TTTCGATTTGGACAAAGGTGCCCCATAACAGGACGAGTGAGAATTCTACATATGTCAAGCTGTCAATGTTTATCTATTTGAAGGTGACTTTGCAATCGGTGTGCGAGTGTGTGAGTGCATGTGTGTGTATGTGTGTGTAATGCAGCAACCGTAAGTCGAACACGATCCTGAGGATTAAGGTTCCTGTTGATTTATGGACGCACAAATACCAATGTGTTTCAAATGTGATTGAAAACTGATAAGCGTATGCCGAGCAGGAGTCGGGCAGGAGTCGGGCAGGCAGTCAGCCAGGCGGGACCTCGGCCAGGACTCGAGCCGGGCTGCTGTTTGTTTAGGCCGTTGGCATGTGCCAATGGGCGTGCGGGCAGCCAGCGAGCAGGAGCTGAGGCCGTTATTAGTGTAACTGTCAGCTGGCGAAAGTGTTGAGTGCACGTCTGTCAAATGCGGTTGAGGTTTCAGCCGGAGACCAAGAGAAATGCGAGTTAGGGAACAGAAGGAGAAGGAGAAGGGGAATGGGAAGGGCAAGGGGGTGTACAGAGAAAAGCAGTACAGTTCGGTATCCGAAATATAAACAGCTGCAGCAATTGATGGCTTAATTTGCCACTAATTTGCGCTTATCGGCCAATGGCAACCGCCCCACCTCGCCTCTCCTCACTCCCTCGCCCGATGGGGCGCAGCTCTGTGACCAAGCTTCGCTTGGCTAAATGCGATGCCTGTGGACTGTGACTGAGGCTACTTCTCCCCTCTCTCTCTCTCTCTCTCTCTCTCTCTCTCTCTCTCTCCGCTCTCGCTCTCCTCTTTCTCATTGCATGCCTAGGCCTGGCAAGCATGCAAATTGATTTCGTAACGCCCGTTTATGGGAAACTGCAGCAGCCCGAGGAAGCTGGAGCAGCCGCTTATCGAGCCTAAACACCTAAAAGCGCCGACACAGTCATAGAAGGCTTTCCAAAAAACTGTTCCAGCTAGTGATGGCAAAAAAAGTTTATGAATCGATTATTGAATCATATGATTAATTTAATCGACGAAAATAATCGTTAATCGATAATAATCATCACAATAATGATCGTTAATCAATCATTTGTATTTCTTTGGAGTTATCGATTATCGCAACCCATTTTGCGATACGATTCAATCGGCAATGAAAACAAAACAATCGATTATTGTGTGTCATCCGATTAATCGTGTCAGCACTAGTTCAAGCTGCAGAAGAAATATGAAATGAAACTATTCATACTGACCTCTTCTCTTCCCTTGCAATCTCGACTCCGCCAATCTCTTCTCTCTTCTCTAATTTGACAACAAACGTTGCCAGATGGTTCGAAATTCGAATATGTCTGCTGGAGCTCATTGCCGCTCATTGACGGCAAATAAGAAGAGCTATAAACGAGAGGAGGAAGCATTTAAGGCAACTGCTGACATTAACAGTGCCTGGCGGAGTTCGGGCCATCCGTTTTGGCCAGGCATAAACAACGGCTCATGCGACGACGCGTCGTCCAGCTCATAATAAAGCAATAAAAAAAGGAGAAAGGTAAATGGCGGTAAGGCCAACTAAAGAGCCACAAATGCTACCTGAACAAGCGTTACACATGGCAGGGAAAGCAGGAGAGAGTGAGTGAGAGAGAGAGAGGTAGGGCAGGAGAGAGATACATACTTGTATAAAGTGTGTGGTGGTTCTCTCCTCTTTTATATGCATGTGTATGATACCCATTGCTAATGGGCAAGCAGGGTATAATGGTGCGTGGGACTTGCTGGAAAAGTAGGCGTGGCAGCCATATCAATTCTTATTTCATATGTACGTACATATATGTCTATCTCCCTCTATCCATAATCCACTCCACTTTTGCTGGGTATCTGCTAGTCCACCCCTCCCCTTAGCACTGCTGGCTTTTTTAAAGTTTTTTTGTGCATTGGCCAGGTCTAATTTATCATCAAACAGCAGACACACAGCACACACAGAGAACACAAAGGACACAAAGGACATCGTGCGGTATTGGAACAGCTGGCTTCCTGGCGAGCGAACGGATGGACGGACGGACGGAATCTCTCTCTCTCTCTCTCTCTAAAATGTGACTCCTTCAGCTGCGGGCTGCGTTAATAGTTTATGACTAAATTGAAACAGGTTGTCGGAGCAGGCAGGAAGTGCTTGCCGGCGCTTCCAGCGAAAGGCGCTGCCCAAGCCACGCCCCTCACGCACCGCACACTCCTACGCCCCCCACTGTCACCTAGCGCCCTCCTCGCCCTGTCAATTTGTCAATCAATCGGGCATCCGAATGACACGCTCAGATGCGCCTCGCCTCGCCTTGCCTTGCCACGAATGTAACTGAGTCGAGTCTCTGTTTACAGCAAACCAAAATAAGAGTGCACTGCGAGAAAAAGGGTAGTAGAAGTTGGCAATATGAATAGTGTGAATTTTTTAAATTTCGGTTTAATAGAATATGATTTTTTTTTTATATTACACTTAATTTTGTGTAGAATCAAATATAAATTTAACTAATAAAGTTTTTTTTTATTTTATAAATTAACAAAAATATTTCCATTGATTACAAAAAATTAGACAAGGAATTTAGATTAAAATTTACACTCTCTAAAAAGTATAAGTAATATTTATTTATTTTTAAAATTATACAGCATATACTTCGTCAATATTTTCATTCAGTTTATGAAACAATATAATATTAATTCATATTTAAATTAATGAAATCTTTATCTTAAATAATTAAATGAAATTATATATTGGAATTATAGATCAGATCAGTTTAACGAAATATATTTATGTTAATAAATATTTTCATGCAGTAAATTAATAAAATGTGAACATTTATATGTAAAAATAAAATAGAATTATGGAATGGAATGTTATAAGCCCAATGGGACTCTGATCAAATCAGTCGCTCTATCATTTCGCTCAGTGCACCAGTGCACACTCGCACACACACACACACACACACACACACACACACACACACACACAAGGTGGATGCGCTTCGTCAAAGCAAAGTCGCCGTCCGTCGGCCCACTTGAGCGCACTTATCCTTTTCGCTGCTCTCCTTCGGCGTTTGTTGTCTTTGGCTTATCTCACTTACAAGTAATTGTAATATTATCCCTAATAAGCAAAAGATTGATAGCATTCCAGGGAAAACAACAACAGGGCCACAAAGGGCCAGAGACCAGTCTATGGACAAAGACTAGGCAGGCCTGCAATCCCGGCGGGCAAGCCGACACCACGACAACAAAGGACACACACACACACAAACACACGCATACGCACACGCACATTCCTGCTCAAGTGTTTTCCCTTTCTTTTATCTCGGCTAGTTTATGGTTGTTCGCTCCCTCTCGCTCGCACTCACGCTCCGCTCATCATCACTTGAGTAAACAATGTCATAAAATCAGCAATCAATCTGCGACCTCGACATCGACTTCGAGTCTAACTTCGAATTTGGTTTGAGTTCGACTCCACACACACTCCTTAGCCTGTTGTTATTGTTGTTGCTGTTATTGTTGGTCTCTCGCCTTTGTCGTGAGCTATTTGTATGGCCTAACTGTCAAGGTGGACTGTTTTTGCTGCAGTTGTTGTCGTTGCTGCTGTCTTTGTTTTGAGCTATTTGACCAGCTTAACTGTTAAAGCAAACATACGCCTCTTCCTCTTTCACTTATACTTCCTCCATGTCTTCTACTCGCTCGCTCTGCTCTGCTCTCTCGCTCTGCTCTGCTTAGCTCTGCTCTGTTAATACAATTAAGTGTTATATTTGTAATGCTTTTTATGCGACTACCAAATTGCTTTATGGGCGTGCCGCCGCCTATCACAACAAGGCGCCAGAGAGAGATAGAGCGAGGGTGCGTGTAGGCATAAGAATGAGATTTATGAATAAAGGTAAGACATTGTTGCCATCAAGCGGTGAGTGTTAATTGCTTATGAGGATTTAGTGGGAGTTTCTGTGTTTGTTTTGTTATAATAAATATCTCAATTATGGTATCCATAGGAACAACTGCCAGATATAATTTTTAGAGGGTTTATTAAAGAATTAATTTAAAGAATTTATTAAACAATACTTATACCTCTGAGGTATTCACATTTGTTGTAAATAACAAAAATAATAGTGAAAATAACTGTTTACAGTTTGGTTGAGGCCAAAATACTTAAGATAGACGTAATAAAATAATTTAAGAAAATACTAATTAAATAAACTCTTCAAACTGAAAGAAAAATTCCAAATATACATATACACACATATAATTCATACAAAATATAAAAAAAAATTAGAGTTATATTATGTATAAATAAAGCTTACCAGGCAATCTAAATAGAGTAACGATAAGTACCTCACTCGCTCAAACACTTCCACTCTATTTAAATGCATATGCCCATTCAATAATCGTACTATCCCTAGACTGAAACCAAAGGTAATGCTTTAATAAATGTCCAAGTCTGAGCTGCTCGCCCAAGATTCAATTAGATTAGCACACAGAGCTCATCCTTCAATATTCTTGACATTCGCCACATTAGGTAAACTTGTGTGTGCCTGTGCGTGTGTATGTGTGCAACAAGCTGCTGCGGCTGCAGCAGGACCAAAAATTAATTACAGCGACCTAGTCAAAGGATTCGTTATCCTTTTAACAGCGGCTGCTAGTGTTACCCCAGGTCGAACATGTTCGAGTTGCCTGGTGCGCGATGCAACCTCCTGCTGTTAGCCGTGGCCACTGTTACGTGTGGCTTAACAGTGTATAAGACCGTAGTTCGGCGCTTCTGCCGCTAGATGGAGCCACTGCCTTCGTGAATACATCGCCTTCGTCAGACACGATTGTCGGCTCTTTTGCTTGAATTGTTGTTGGCGTCTGCAGCACAGACGTGCGTTGCAGCTGCCCGACGCGGTGCGACGCCTTGGCTCGTGTCAACGGCTCGTGTGCGTGTTCCACGAACAGACGAGCCCGAACGTTGGTCGTTCGTTCGGCTGGTTGCATGCTGGCCCTCTGCTTCTATACTTGTATGATTCAGTCTGATTCAGTCTTTGACGACGCGCGCATTGAAACGGATGGTCAGTTGCGGACGCTGTAACGCTTTCTGTGTCTCCATTATCAGTGGTAAACGACGTTGCTCTGTGCTAGCCAAAATTACCGTTTCGGTTCTAGCAAAACTGCTTCGGCCCCGTCTCATCGTGATGGCCATAACTGTGTAACTGTGAGTGTTTGTGTGCATTTGTGCGTGTGAGCGACCGTTTGACGGTTTGATTTGAATTTCGGGAATCGTCATACAAAGATGCTGATGCCGATCGGAGAAGCAGCTCAAGCAAAGCAAAACGAAAAGCGAGCTAAGCGCATTGCCCGATAAATAAACCGAGCTTAGAAACGGAACCAAAGCACGTTCAGCGGCTGTGTCTTCTGTCTCTGTCACTCTATCTCCCGCTCAGTGTATGTGCGTACGCGTGTGCCCCTGTGTGAGTGCTGTGCATGTGTGCGTGAGTGCCTAACAATTAATTTGCATTTGAATCGCATTTAATCTGCGATCCAATCAAGGGCCAAACAGAAAAGGAGAGAGATAGAAAAAGAAAAACAAAAAATTCTGCAGATTCGCCAACACGCAAAATAAAAGGAGAAAAAAAAAAACAAAATAGACCCCAAGTAAATACGCATAAAAAAAGGATTTGCCAAGTAAGTGTGTCCAGCTGTAAATCTTTAGATTAGCATAAAACAAATACGCAAAGGCCTAAATTAAATATGCACCTTTTATAAAAAAATATATGTAGTATATAATGGTAATACATGTGGGTGCTCGACGAACTGCTAAATGAAAAGATTTTCATAGAATTTAAATTCTTTACCCAAGAAAAAAAGAAAAGAAAAGAATAAAAAAAGTTGCGCGTTCGCCATTCAGAAATAAACAAATATTTGCATTAAAATAAACACACGCCTACCCTATGTACCCCCCAATTCCCTACCCCATCCCTACCCCGCCTACTCCTAATACACCCCTTTTGAAAAACGCTTTCCCTGTATCCCCAGTGCGATTGTTGTCCCTTTTGCTTCTCTATTCATTATACCGTGTACCCATTGCAGGCGGGTATAATGTGGATGATCAAATCTATAGAGCACTCGACAGAAAGAGAGGGATATATATGTATGTATATACACATTGTATACCTGAATCAATCTGAATCAATGGACGAGCTAATCTAGTCTTAGAAAGAATGAAGCCGGAATTTATATGAATATCTTTTTAGCTAGTTTCAAGACGTCGATAATTTATATGAAATCGATTTTAATCTATATTAATTGCTGTTACTTATTTGATCTTTTCTCGAAGCTCTTAGCAGCTAGATTGACTTTATATGGATACGATTCCGCTAAGGAAAAAAAAAAAAAACTTAAAATTATCTTCATTCTACACTTAAACATTTCAAGTTCATACTCCATTTCGGACATCCGCGATATCAACTTCCAGCTTATCTACTACCTTTTCTTTATTTGTATTATATATTTCATTAATCTTTGTATATTGCTCACATATCACTGTCAGAGTTCATTCGACAAACATTACACGGTATCTCTTAGTCGTATACACCACACAATAAAACATTTACTTATTGTTGTTGCTGCTTTGTTTTGTTTTTCGGTCATTTGTCTTTTTGGGTCAGCAAATGCGTCCAATTTTTCCGAGATTTTTCGCGAGATATTCCACAGTTGTATATTTGTTTTTCTTTTTTACTTTTCTTTAGGGTTTTCCACAACTTTTTCTCTTTCGATTATTTACACATTTTTGTTTTTGCTGCTTCCAAACACAAAGAATGTCCAAGCAACAATTTAAAAACCCTTTCGCTGATTTCTTATCTGCTGCCTTCTGCCTAGATCAAAAGTATCGCCGAGACATAAAGAAGAACCAGAAGGCAAAACAGAAGAAGCAGAAGAAGAATAGCAGCCAAACCATTAAAGAAAAGTTTGAACTGATTTGCATTTTAATTGCCAAGTTATAAAATCTTTGGATCTCTATTAGGTAAACGAGGCTAAGCACAGATTTCAATTAGACCTACACAAAAAGGTGTCGAAAAGTTGAACAGAGCACGGAAAAAACAGGCAGATAAGCGAGGCTCAGAGTTCGAGATTAGTTAATAATTATATGCAATTAATTAAAACTTGACTTGATTATTTATTTAGATTTAGAATCTCGGTGTGGAAATCAAGCATATTCCATTATTTAAGAGGGTCAAAGATGTCTGAAGATATTAAGATATTTATATATAAAAGATATACAAATATATTCTTAATATACAGTAAAATTATATGAAATGAAAAAAGATTAAGATATTTATATATGTATATAAAATATAC